TGACAATGCACAAGCACCAGAAGAGAGACTAGATAACTGGGAGCTCCTAAAAATCAAACACTTATGGCTCATCAAAAGACTTCACCAAAAGAGTCAAAAGACAACTTACAGACTGGGAAAAAATTTTTGGCTACGAGAAATCCAATCAGCGTCTAATCTCTGAAATCTACAAGATATTGCAAAACCTCAATAACAAAAAGACAAATAATCCAATTAAAAAATGGGCAAAGGATATGAACAGGCACTTTGCCAAAGAAGATATTCAGGTGGCTAACAGACACATGAGGAAATGCTCACAATCATTAGTCATTAGAGAAATGAAGATCAAAACTACAATGAGATATCATTTCACCCCAACAAGGCTAGCATTAACCCATAAAACACAAAATAGTAAATGCTGGAGAGGTTGTGGAGAGACTGGAACACTTATACAATGTTGGTGGAATGTAAAATGGTACAACTACTTTGGAAACTGATTCAGCGCTTCCTTAAAAAGCTAGAAATAGAAGTACCATACGATCCAGCTATCCCACTCCTTGGAACATATCCTAGAGGAATAAGAGCCGTCACACAAATAGATACATGCAAACCCATGTTCACTGCAGCACTGTTCATAATAGCAAAAAGATGGAAATAAGCTAGGTGCCCATCAACTGACGAATTGATAAACAAATTATGGTATATCCACACAATGGAATACTACGCAACAATAAAGAACAATGATGAAGCCATGAAACATCTTATAACATGGAGGAATCTGGAGGTCATTATGCTGGGTGAATTTAGTCAGTCACAGAAGGACAAAGATTGTATAAGACCACTATTATAAGAACTCAAGAAAAGGTTTAAACACAGAAGAAAACATTCTTTGATGGTTACAAGGGTGGGAAGGGAGGGTGAGGGTTATTTACTAACTAGACAGTAAATAAGAATTATCTTAGGTGAAAGGAAGGCAGCACACACTGCAGGAGAAGTCTGCACAACTAGACTAAACTAAAGCTAAGAAGTTTCCTGAATACAATCAAACACTTTGAGGGACAGAGTAGCTGGGGTTAGGGGTCTGGGGACCATGCTTTCAGGGGACATCTAGGTCAACTGCCATAATATAGCTTATTAAGAAAATGTTCTGCATCCTACTTTGGTGAGTGGCATCTGGGGTCTTAAAAGCTTGCAAGCGGCCATCTAAGATGCATCAATTGGTCCCAACCACCTGGAGTAAAGGAGAATGAAGAACACCAAAGACAGAAGGAAAGTATTAGCCCAAGAGACAAAAAGGGCCACATAAACCACAGACTTCATCAGCCTGAGACCAGAAGAGCTAGATGGTGCCCAGCTACCACCAATGACCACTCTGACAGGGAACACAACAGAGAGTCCCTGATGGAGCAGGAGAAAGGTGGGGTGCAGATCTCAAATTCTAGTAAGAAGACCAGACTTAATGGTCTGACTGAGACTGGAGGAACCCCTGAAAGCATGGCCCTTGGATTCTCTATCAGCCCAGAACTAAAACAATTTCCGAGGCCAAGCCTTCAGACAGGGATTGGACTGGACTGTGGGACATAAAGTGATACTTGTGAGGAGTGTGCCTCTTAGCTCAACTAGATACAAGAGACTAAACGGGCAGCTTCTGTCTGGAGGTGAGATGGGAAGACAGAGAGGGTTAGGAATTGGTTGAATGGACATGCGGAATCAGGGGTGCAAAGGAGGAGTGTGCTGTTACAGTATGGGGAGAGCAATTAGGGTCACATAACAATGTACATATAAATTTCTGTATAGAAGAGTAACCTGAAATGTAAACTTCATTTAAACTACAACAATAAAAAAATAATTTTTGTATGAGAAATTAATGTGAGCTTTAAGCTTTCACCTAAAGCACAATTAAAAAAAAAAAAAAAAGAGAAAGACCATAAGAAGTAAATTTCATACTCTAATGCTGCTTGTGGGTGAAATTCCTTCCCTCATCCCGAATCTACTTTTGTAAATAAAGTTTTATTGGAACACAGCCATGCCTACTCATTTCTGAATTGTGTACGGCTGCTTTTTGCTACAAAGGTAGAGTTGAGTAGTTGAGACAGGGAGCATATGGCCTACCAAGCCTAAGACATTTACTATCTGCCCCCTTTATGGAAAAGTCTGCCATCTCCTATCTAGTGAACATAGGCAGTCGCTGGGTTACAAATGTCCAACTATGTACAACCCACAGTTATGAACCAACCTGCATAAAGTCTATTATATTAAAAATTCGAGGTACATACAATGGTTCATAATAACAAACGGGAGTTACTTTCAACACACATCAAAGCATTATTTTTACTGTATTATTACGTTAAAAGTGTTTTAGTGTTATCTGGAAGTATTTCTTTAATGCTTTTTATCCATAAAAAGGTATAGTATATACTAAGACAAGCATTTCACTAACTCATCTATCTGTTCCGACTTATTTACAAATTAGACTTAAAGACAGACTTAGGAGTGGAATTCATTCGTAATCCAGTGGCTACTTGTTCAAAAAAATAAGAAGGAAAATGTGTGTAAGTTCTCAAATCAGGTTTTTCATATGAGGAATTATCAAAAATAACTAATTTTTCAGAGTAAAGATCCGTTTTTATTAGTTAATGTTTAAATCTGGTCACAGAAAGAACTATGTTAAAAATATAGTCTCATATAATTGGAAACAGTATTTGCAAGTCATGCCATATATAAACTATTATCCCTGCACTTGTCTTTTTTTCTGTGTCTCAAAAACAATCATTTAGACAAGTGGGAGGGTTATCTAAGAGCTATTCGCTCTTGCAAGAAGAGGACTCCCCACCCCACACAGTTACTAGTTTTCCTTTTTTGTTTAAAATAATGTGCAATATCCAAGAAATAAATGGATATAAGATCACATATCAACTCCTATCAAGAAGTCTAGCAGAAAATTGGCTATTTATTTTACTTTATAACAACAACAACCCACACCTCAATTGACCTACTCATTTGTTAAAGACCTTTAATAGATTACTACTACAATCTGTAGCCAATGCTTATATAAAAAGACATGAGTTTTAAAATGTTCTCTTGGTAGAAGGCATGGTAGCATGTGTTTCTTTTCATTCTTACTTTTATAATACTCATGCTAGCCCTAATGATGGCAGGTAGTGTTTTCAAGAAATGTAGAGCAGAAGACACAAAGACATAGATAATTTCAATACAATAGAGTGAGGAAAATGATAAGTGATATACGCCTAGAGTACAACTAGGGCAAGAGAAGGGCCACGGGGAGTGAAGGAGAAGATGGTGTTCAGGGTAATATTCCTAGTACATAGAATAATGCCTGGCATCTGGTAGCTGTTGACTCAAAATGTGTTGAATTAAAGAATGGTAAAATATGCATCATATAGGAGGCAGTTTTATGTAACAGAATAAAAAGACTTAGGCCTAAATTCGGGCTTTCCTACATATTAGTAGTGTTACACTGGTGCTTTTTTTTAAGGAGCCTCAGTTTCCTGGTCTGTTAAACAGGGGTAACAAACCATTCTTCAGAGTTGCTATTACAAATAAGATAACAAGTAAGCTACATAAAAGAACCTAAGAGATAACTCAAAGCAGGGGGCTGAGCTGACTGTGACATGAATACTTAAATGACCACCAAATTACTTCAGCTGATCTGGTTACTGAGTGACTAGTTAGGGTATCCCTTTCTCCCCTACTGCTTTAATGGGATCCCTTTTGACGCGTCACACTGGATTGAGGAAAACAACATTCCAAGACTAAGGACAAAAATCTTAGGTCCTCTACCACCACACAATGACAAATGTGACAATAAGTGACAAAAGAAACTGTCTGAATGTTATGGCTACATTCTTAGTATGCACAGAAAATAAAACCAGAGATAAATGCATAAGAACTAAGTTAGAATGCTTTTTTTTCTTTTCTGCTTCTCTCCAAAAATTAGTTTGATTATATTCTGTAATTTAACAAATACATTTTTAAAATTGGATCTAAAAATACATCAAGTAAATTATGAAATACAGAAATGTTACACTAATTAATTATAGTCTCTAAACCCATCTGTTTAGAATTAACTAACAGTCTAGTATTAATACAGTTTTGATCAGTTATTATTTGCCAGGTGCCGTTTACATGCTTTCATATATTATTAAATCCTTAATTTTCACAACAATTCTATCAGGTAAGTAATAATAGTATCCCCATTTTGCTGATGATGAAAGTGGGGCACAGAGTTAAATAACTTGCCCAAGGTCACACAACTAGGAAGTGGCAGAGCTTTGGTTTCCCTCTGCAGCTGGTTCCAGAGCCAGTGCTCATGAGCACCACAGTAAAGCAGGTCTTCTGGAATGCCCTGACTTAGGTGTCACAGCCATGGTATCAAACTTAGGGGCAATCATTACCTCTCATTAAATGTAAAGATACTCCGAGGTCAAGCATCTTTATATGCTCTGTTACTACAAGTGATGTAAGCTGCTGTGACAAGACTTACTAACTCAGTATGTATAAGAGAGCTTTTCTAGCACACTACTATATACCGATTTCTATGCGCACCCAGGAAGCTTGACTGCATCCTTGCTAACACAGAGAACTGAGAGCTGATGCTCTCTCAACTCTAAAATGAATTGCTACATATGTAACTGAAATCATAGGAATTTTCATTCCAGAAAATAATCTACAAGATGGATCATGTCCCTATGCTTATTGTAAATACTCAGAGACCTCATACAGAAACATAAAAATTTCTTAAATATACTTCAGTGAATGTTAAAAAAGGTTTCCCTGGACCACAAAACATAAATGTTCATGACAAAGTAAACACGTCAAAGCTCTCATGAAGACACGTAAGTAAAAAAAATCTTTAGCACTCCCCTCTCCCATCTTGGCCAATATCAAAAGCTTCAGAAAGACTAATTCTTCTATTAGTTACTTACAGAATATTAATACTTTAATAAACATATCTGAAAGGAAGAAAAACATGTAGAAATCCCTTGTAATTTTTATCCTACCTAATATTACTTGATTTCAGATGCTCCTCTGATTTCAAGTTTCCGGTCCTCATCTGGGACTTAAATGAAACGTTTTCTCCCAGAATGACTATCTGCAAGAACATCCAATTTCTCATAAGGTAGAATGGTTTAAGACATTCTAGACAGACGAGAGGAGGAAAATATGAGTTAACCCACAATAACAGAAAACCCCTTGAAGAAAATTAAATTATTTTCTCTTGATTTGAAATTATTTAATGGGAAAGAAAAGGAAAAATATCAAAGCCTTTTTCCTTTCTGTATTTTGTTTCTTAGAATACACATCTTAAAATTCTGTTTCATTTCTTTCCAACAGATCCTAGTTTTAGACAAAAATGTTATCTTAATCTCCCTGTCTGAAAGCTGAGTGATCTCTCCATGACCGATACCCATTACCCAGTAGAGTTCCTGTAGGACCAGGGTGACAGTGCCCTGCAGAACACAGTAGCAGATGGTTTGTTCAAACTGGACTGCTTACCAAAGGGAAAAAACATGTAAAGCTATCAAACCACAATTATAGGTGGTGTGAATAATGCTTAAATTCTAAGATCAGCTGAAAACGGCAGGTTTTTAGATCTTCAATCATTCACTGACCAAATATTTGGACATTTCTACGTGCTAGAGTGGAGTCCTGGTGGTGCAGTGGTTAAGAGTTCGGCTGCTAACCAAAAAGGTTGGCAGTTCAAATCCACCTGCTGTTCCTTGGAAACCCTATGGGCCAGTTCTACTCTGTCCTACAAGGTCACTATGAGTCAGAATTAACTCGACAGCAATGGGTTTGGTTTTGGTTATAGATTTAAAATCTAAAGTAGAGAAAGACCAAGGAAGGAGGAGGCAGTATAGGGTAGTAGTTAAAAAGCACAGGCTCGGGAGTCACGTTGTCTGCATTTAGTGGTACGCCAGGAAGTTAGTCAAGCCCCACCGACAAAACGTAGCACAATTAATTGAGGATATCAATCTTACTCAAAGATGTGGACAAAGTAAGTTAAGGGATTATTACTGTCTACTGGTAATTGCTTTTACACATTCTTATTATGTGCCACATTCTATGCTAAATTCTCTATATGCATAATCTCATAGAATGAGAGTAAAGTAGTTAAGTGTCTTGTATCAGACTGCCTAGGTTCAAATCAAGCTCTGCCACTTCCTAACTGTATTAAGTAAATTACTTCTTTATGCTCCAGTTTTGTTAGAAGGGGGGAGATAATAAAAGTACCTACCTCACTGAGATATTCTGAGGATTAAATGAAGTAACACAAGTAAAGCACTCAGGACTGTTCCTTAGTAAATATGCCCTCAAAAAATGTTAGCTATTACATTGTCATTGTCATTATTATAATTATAGTTATTACTATTACTTCTACCAACAATCCTAGGAGGTAAATGCTATTATTATTCCTATTGTATAAATTAGAAAATTGAAGCTAAGAACTCACACTAATCAATTCTACAACACAAAGTTTTTCATAATTTTTAACAATAAAACACCAATCTTAAGAGAAATTTCAAACAGGCAGCAGACCTATGCAGACTTTGTTCCCTTACTTCCAAAGCATTAGCATTCAATCTCCTGTGACTTCACGTGTACTTCCGTGGAAGAGATTGAGAGAAAATACCCCATGATAAAACCCAAGATCCTTAGCGTAGCATAAAGGTCCCCGGGCTCCTCAGTTTATACTTTAAGATTCAATAAAGCTAAATTCCTTTTAGTTTCTTGCTAGTTTGCCCCTTAGTATCTTTATTCATGTTCTTTTATTCAATCTGGAATGCTTGTCCTCCTTCTTCCATCTCTGTTTAACTCCTTCTCGTATTTTAAAACTCAGCAACTCCTATAAGATAAGCTTGGCTTGGCTAAGTACTCCCCGCGCATCTTAACGGCCACTTTTATGACAGCACTATAGCACTGAAGTGAAGTTACCTGTTTACATGTCTCCTCCACTAGCCATTATGTCCTATTCAACCTTGTATATTCAGTGCCTAACACAGCATCTGCCATACTGCAATAGTTGCTCAAATAAGCTTATCTTAATCTGGGTGAAACCATCTCTCTATAAAAGATCAAGACCCTAATAAGTCAAAGTTTCTCAGATCTGACAGTAATTTTAAAAGTAAACAATCTGAAAGGTTTCTCATCTTAGAACCAGTAATAACATACTTCCATTTAAATTCAGAAAATCTAACACTTCATACAGTCAATTAGAAAAGTACATGATCATTTATGTGGCTCTCTGAAATTCAGATTTTGTTTTCCTCATATTGGTATCTATATTATATATACAGTACACCAAATATTTCTACAGAAATGTAAAATCTGAACCCCTAAGCAGAACATGGATTAGTCCAACAACCCAAACAAGTTAAGTAAGAAGCTATTTCCTCTCATCTCAATTTTTACATTAGATGAGGTATGTCAGAACAATGGTTTCCAACCCCATCAGACCCAATGTCCTTTTTTTTAATAACCCATATTTTGCAACAATCCCTTTTTTTTTAACCTTCCTGAAATACACAGATAATATAAACTACTTATTTACCAATTTATAAATAAATAAATAAAAAGACCAGACTTACTGGCCTGACAGAGACTGGAGAAAAGCCCCGAGAGTATGATCCCCGGACACCCTTTTAGTTCAGTAATGAAGTCACTCCTGAAGTTCACCCTTCAGCCAAAGATTAGATAGTCCTATAAAACAAAATGAGACTAAAGGGGGACACTAGCCAAGGGGCAAGGACTAGAAAGCAGGAGGGAATACGAAAGCTGGTAACAGGGAATCCAAGGTCGAGAAAGGAGAGTGCTGACATGTAGTGGGGTTGGTAACCAATGTCACAAAACAGTATGTGTACTAATTGTTTAATGAGAAGCTAGCAGTTTGTTCTGTAAACCTTCATCCAAAGTATAATAAATAAATAAATGCCTTAGGGGTAATAAACCAAACCAAACCCTTTGCTATCAAGTCGATTCTGACTCATAGTGACCCTACACGACAGAGTAGAACTGTCCAATAGGGTTTCCAAGCAGCAGCTGGTGGATTCAAACTGCTGACCTTTCAGTTGGCAGCTGAGCTCTTAACCGCTGTGCCACTAGTACTCCTAGGGGTAACAGGAGACATAAAAGGAAAGCATTTACCAAACAAGATGAGGTGTGATCATAATGCCTACCTCTTAAAATAGTCCCTGAAACACAGTAAGGACCAATAACAGGAAGTTATTACTGTTATTCACAGCATTGTTTACATCTACCTTCTCCCCCTCTATTTTACACCCCAATTCCTATTGCTGATCCTGTTAAGACTACAACATCCTCTTCCTCATCATACTGCCCCAAAATTATTCCTTGAAATTAATCCCACGTTTTTGAGAAAATTAACTTTCCTACACAGCCACCACAAAATGTATTTCCTTTCTAAGTTCCAAAGACACTCTCTGCATCAGCCCCAACGTTCTTACCCTGGCTATAGAATACTTTTTGCTCCAGGCGGTAGCTTTAATCCACCTAAAACCAGTGCCCGCTTTCTTTGTACTGTTTTCTAATCCCTACAATATAAATTTCAGTGCTAAACTTCCTTTCATACTTAATTCTAGCCCTGTTAGGTTAAACCACCTTTTTTGTTTGCAAGGAAGATAAAGCAGATAAAACGTACACGAGGAGATAAATGAAGTATCAGTATTATTTCTTGCGTAAAATTTCTTAACACCTACTCTTTAATTACAGTGATCTATGCACACAATCCCAACAGTCCAATGCCCAAAAGACAGAGAACATAAAAACAAAGACTACAGACAGCATCAATGTCCTGGCTGAAGTAACTGAGGGAAGAAACAACTAATTCTATATGACAAATAAATATACAACAAAAAAATTACTGTTCCAACTTAAATGTAAGTAATTTCCAATTAGCAATAAATATCAATCAACTGATATTTAAAGACTTTTAGGAGTTAGTATTTCTTCTTATAATATTCAGTTCAAAAAATTCTCATGGGAGGGGAAAGACAGCAGGATTCAACCTGATGAGATGTGCTTTTTTCCCTCTATTACCATATACGTGATATAAAAACAGAGAATTTTGAAATTTATCATCTGGCATCAGCTGTTTGAGAAATCCAAAGTAAAGGTTAAAAATGAAGGTGATAAAAATCACAAGGAAATCAAAAGGCGTTTGGAGTATCTAAAATTTATCATTGTTTCTTTTCCAGTTCTGTTGGAATAGGACACTGACAAAAATACCATTTTCTCTGACTCATGGAGAACGTGATTTAGATAAATTCTAAAAACAACTCACCAAATTATACCTTGTTTATTCGTTGTGATAACAAAACTGATTCTCTATAAACAGATCTTTGTTCAGAAATCTTTATGTGCAAAATCTGAATATCACCAAGGATAAAAATGTTATTACTCGCCCAGTATAACTCTCAGGACCTTTTCAATTAGCAATATACAAAAAAGTCCTTTACATACAGGCATATCTCAGAAATATTTCAGGTTCCATTCCAGACCACTGCAATAAAGTGAGTATCACAATCAAGCAAGTCACACAATTTTTTTTGGTGTCCCAGTGCATATAAAAGTTATGTTTACACTATATTGTAGTCTATTAAGTGTGCAACAACACTATGTCTAAAAAAAACAGTTATGTGCCGTTGAGTCAGTTCCGACTCACAGCGATCTTAATTAAAAAATACTTCATCGCTAAACAATGCTAATCATCATCAGAGACTTCAGCAAATCATGATCTTTTTGCTGGTGGAAGGTCTTGCCTCGATGCTGATGGCCGCTGACTGATAAGGTGGTGGTTGCTGTGGCAATTTCTTAAAATAAGACGACAATGAAGCTTGCCACATCGATTGACTCTTCCTTTCATGAAAGATTTCTCTGTAGCGTGCGATGCTCTTTTATAACATTTTACCCACAGTAGAATTTCTTTCAAAATTGGAGTGAACCCTCTCAAACTCTGCCACTGCTTTATCAACTAAGCTTATGTAATATTCTAAATCCTTTGTTGTCATTTCAACAATGTTCAAAGCATCTTCACCAGGAGTAGGTTCCATCTAGAAATCACTTTCTTTTGCTCACTCATAAGAAGCAACTCCTCATCTGTTAAAGTTTTATCATGAGAT